TTGGTAACCATAAAGGCAGCCAGCAGGCTTTATGTCCAAAATGTCAGTTCATATTCAGATTAGGATGACTGTAACTGAAAGCTGTTGCTATCTGATGGCTGCTCAGTGGCCCATGCAAAATAGACTGAATGAATCTCAGCCTCAGGGGAAAAATGTCAATGGCACAATTCACCAGCATAATTGGCTTAATTGATAGCCTGGTTAACAATCACAGCCGTTCTCTATTCCCTGTTCACAGCAGTTCTTCTATTGACTTCAGCTTGTTTTAGATCAGGACCTCAAAGTACCTTCCCCAGAAAAATGGACAGAATGGACTGCAACTCAGAATTGCTATCTGTGAGAAGTTCCAACATTACCAAATTTCCTTTCATCCTGAACTAGAATAAAAATCTGAAATTTCCTGAGACATGACATGTCTAAAAAAAACTCCTTTAGGAAATATTAAAATAACCTTAGGAAAGCTTTGTTTCAACAAGGCTGAATCACCTTGTTTTAATTTTCACAATTCAGCCTTACATAATATGTTATTACATATTATAAGTTAAAATGAAGTACTTTGTCCGTATTCAAAAGAATATATTGACAATGCCGCATCTACAATTCTGACAAAATCAATACGTTTCTGTGAAACTTTTCAATTTTATAAAACTCCCTTTTTGAAAAAGAAATCTGTTCTGTCTGAAAATTTTCAAGCAGCTTCAGTAATGAGTTAACTCTCCCTGAGACCATTAAATAACATACCCCCCATTCTACAGGTGGAAAAACTGAGGCACAGAGAGGTTAATGTCCCACAAATATAACACAGAACAAACAGCAGCACTGAAAGTAGATCCCATGTCACCCCCCAAACCACATGGTTGTCCTGTAACCATTAGGGATAATTCTGTTCCACTGAGAATGCAGTCACCATGAATGCCTTCTTATGTCATCTCTCCAGCATGATATAGCATAATATAGTGCAGACACAACCACATACACATGCAAAAGGAAAACAGAAGTGCTTTTCAGTCAGCTCAGTGGCAATTTCTTGTGATGTAGAAAAAAAATTAAGCCTTTTTCTGTAACTTTTCCTGGCACTGAGCTGATTATAAATAGCTCTGGTTTTTCCACCTGCAGGATTAGCAGGCTGTTGCCTGAGGCAGAGGGCTGATAAAGTAATTCAACTTGGTATTTTTCAATGAGAAACACAGTCCTGATGCATCATGTGCAGTGGGAAGAATGAGGAGATGGTCTAATATTAATCTCATTTCCCCCCAAACCTAGAATGTGATTCCACATAAGAGAACTACTAGAATGCCAGAGCATATCAGACAGGAACATAAGGTGAAGTGACACAAAATAAATGTTTAGAGCCTGACGGGCCATTGCTCTGCATAGTGATTTATGGCTGTGCAGTTGTAAAACTCTTTCAGCCTGATTCTCATTTATACTGTTCACTTTACACCGCTCTGGTTCTGCAAGGGAGTGTAAACACGGTTTGTTTTCAACATGAAGCTTCTTTACGTAGCCAGAAGTGAAATTAAGCTCCTGCAAAGACAATGACACTGGCTGTAATGGAGGCTGACTACGGCCCCAAAAGTCGTACAGGCAGATGGAGGAAAATACTCTAACATTCTAGGTCAGGGCTGTCCAAATTCTAATGATGTAATGTTGCCTTGGTATAAATGAGGAAAAGCACTTTATATTCGCTTCCTTCAGATATAAATGAAACCACAAGCACAGGGTGCCAGAGGATCTGGCTGTCTTGATTATAATAGTCGCACAAATGTATAAACAAGCTGCTGCGTTCACACCATACCTTGCCATTTGATGCGTTAGGTTTGCAGCATTGTCCTAATGTCAGTCCTTTAAGAGCCATCTTACTACACTATCAAATTAGCTATAGTACTCATTTATATTAAAATTGGACCTAGGAGCCCTAGTCACACCTAGGTCTAAGATTCCACTGTGCCAGGTGCAGTACAAACACAGCAAAGAGTTCATTCTTGCCCCAAAGAGCTGACACTTCAAGGCAACAGATGGATACAGAAGGGTTGGGGAATGCAACCAAACAATGAGACTACAGGTTTGTTTATGCTACTACCTATACCCACACTCAAGTCTACCCACTAGCACAAACCATCTGACCATCAATATTCAAAAATCCTTGGCCTCCCAATCAGCTTCCAAAAGCTCTGCTGAATTTCAGAGCTTGAGGATGGGCCTCGAATTGGCCTACCCAACCCTGCTATACATTCAGAACTCACCCAGATATGCCAGCCACAAGTACAGGAAGTCTGCAAGCCACAATAGCACAACTTTCTGCACCTGACTTCTGGCTCATCTGTATCTCCTGGTAACGAAAGTTTGAAGGATATAGTTGAAGGAAGATACCAAGTTAGTTTTGCAGATATTTATGAGGGACATCTCCTAACTATGGGCAGCATAGGAGAAAACACAAGCGTGTTTGAAAACAAAGCAGGAGGCCAATGGAGACTGGCACCAGGGATGGATCCACTCAGTACTGGAGGACAGCATACCTAGTGGAGGGATGCACAGAGAGAGGTGATGTAAGGAAAGCTATGGGCTAGGAAATTATCTTCGCAGCAACATACTGAATGAATATAAAAAGGGCAAGACTGTACTTCTCAAAGCCAGATATAAGGATGAGGATGCACGAGCAGACCCGAAGTTAAATGCCAGGTCTATAAGACATCAGCAGAGAGGTGCTTGTAATAAAGCTGGAATTAGTGTTTGTGGAAGAGGCGTACGAGAGGAAGAGATGGAGACCAAGCACAAAGCCCTGTGGGATAGCCCCTTAGAACGTGCAAGTGGCAATGAGGAGGATCCTTCAAAGGAGTATTTAAAGGATTGAAGAAGAACCAGGATAGCACAGATTCATGGAAACCAGAGGAGGACAAGCTTTCAAGAGCATCACCAGTAGTGTCAGAGGAGGCTGAAAGATCAAAGGAGAAAGAAGGCAGAGTATGGGTTCAGGGCTTTGGCAAGGAAAAGGTTGGCAGAAGAGGTTTCAGGGGAAAGCAAGGAGCAGAAGCTGGATTATAGAGAATCAAAGGGCTTCAAACAGATGTCACCGTTGTGGCATCATATTTTTTACGGCAGCACAAAGTGAACGCGAACCGATATCTGTGCCCTTTGTCTCACTACAAATGCCCAATTTTGTGGCCAAGACAAAAGGTGATAGTAATTTGTGCTGCCCTTTTGCAGCAGATACCTGTTGTAAGATGAGAGAGCCTTGCAGCCAAGAGCTGCCTGTGCTCTCCAGCCACCCCAGGCAGAGAGTCTCAGGGCTTCAGGGGCCTGACCCTGCATAGCCCAGGAATTGCCCTACAGAGGAATTCCCAGAGTATGCAGAATTGAGTCCCTGAAGTCCCTGCAGTGCCTGCCCAGGGTTCCCCACTTGCAGAGGTGCCAGGGGACTCCAACTTCGGGTATGCCCCTGCAAGCAGGGGAACACAGAATTTCCCCATTTGTAAAGGTGTGCTCCGAGTGTTGTCCCACAGGATTGGGCCACTGCTGCCGCCAGAAGTGGCAGAGGCCCAACCCTGTGGGACAACAGGCAGCATCTGTTTCACCTAATGAAGCGGATTAGCTCTGCTGAGACATATCCCAGCACAGCTGATCCACTTCATTTGCCAAGGTCTGTTTATAGCCTAGATTGGACTTGAAGGAGAACCCTGGGCAATGACTGTAAACAGACTGTTGCTACTGATTTCAATGGGAGCAAGTCAAAGACATACCTGTGCAGGTGCGATTCAAGTGCTAGGTCCATATTCTTCATGATACTGAGTCCTTCAAGCCAACAGCAAGTTCAGATGCTCAGCCCCTCGGGATTTGCTAATCCATCACCTAATGATTTATGTTACCATCCCATTCCCATAGGTACCCACTGGAATGATGTCACAGACTTTCTTTTCCAAGATCATTGCCACAAAAAACAGAAACGTATGAGGGAAGAAATATGAACTAAAGTTTATTTAAACCGTCTCAATTTTGTGGCTCATAACCAGAGCAGACACACTGCCAAATATGGGACATGTGACATGGCTGTATTGCAATAGTGTTGCCTGTGTGCAGTCAAGTGTTTGCCTGTGGTTGTAAGGGAGTGTGAAAATGAGCAGTTTAGAGTTACAGTTAGAGCAAGGGAAAGAGAATTATTAATAGTTACAGTTGTTGGCAAGCTGCATATTATCACTCCAGTTGAATTTATTAATACTTTGCATCTTTCATTTGGAGATCTCCAAGTGTTTGCCAGAGTGTTTGGTCAATCACCATTATTAACCCTGTCTTACTGATGGAGAAATTGAGGCAAGTGTAGCTGGCAGGAGAAGCCAGGGATATTATTCTGTGTTGGGGTCAGTGGATGGTATCATTATTAGTACTTTCTGTTACAAAATCCTGTTTGAAGTTACTTGGATCTTTACCCACTTTAAATACTTAAGCTAAAATTTCCACATCAGTTGTTTGCCTCAGGCTGATTTTTTTGTCCAGAAAGTTTCACCAGAAATTGTTCTGCCATTTCCAAAAATGAGGCTAAGGGGAAAATATAAAGTATTACACACATTTTTAAAAAATCTCCTAGCTGCTTCCTTGAGAATGACTGACACTTCAGTGCTTTGGATCAAGGACCTCAGATTAGAGTGTAGGTGGAGGCACGTTGGTGTGAAGGATCTAACTTTTGTTTTCCCCCTGAAGAGCTGTCCGTACTTGGCCAAGATGTTAGCATCTGGGGAAAAAGGTTTGCACATACTCAGTAGAGACTTGTTAAGGTTTTTGACAGCTAAATTCTCCCAAGAATCCATCTGTGCTGATGCTCCATCCCAGGACTGCACAGGCTGAGCAGGGCCTGCTCACCAATTGCTGCTCCTGGGACAAGGAGTCTCTTCACTGCTCTTGGTGCTCCCTTTGCTGGTACCCAGAGGGCGTGTCTACACAGGTGCATTTACTGCACAGTAACCAAAATTACTGCACAGTACGGGTGTGTGTCTACATGTGCATGCCTGTACTGCACAGTAAATATGGCACCTTATGCCAACTTGAGTGTAAATTTGATACCTGCATCATGCAAGTATAAAATCTATGTCCAATTAATTACTGAGCAGTAATGCACATGTAGACACATTACTGTGCAGTAACACTGTGTGTGTGGACTGACTTGGGACTAACTTTAGTCCTAAATCAGACCACACATAGCATTGATGCACTGTAACATCTGCGTGTGTAGACACCGGTCTGTTCCTGCTTTCTGAGCAGTAACTTACTGTGCAGTAAATTTAAGCTGGTGTAAATGCACATGTAGATATGCCCAGAGAGTGCAAAGAAGCCAGCTCTTTTGTGCAGATTCACAAAGATATATTCTTTAATTAAATGGTCACTTGCTATTTTTATTGCAGGACCACGTCTCAATCAGTGTACAGAACAAACCTGCTCTGTGCATGAATCAGGGCTATGTAGAAAAGGGGGCTATTGTCCATTGGATTACCTCATTGTTGCAGAAGTTGGAAAATGCATGCAGTGAATGTGGCAGGGGAGTGAAGGAAGAGAAAGCGTGACTGGATGATTAAGGGAGTTGACTTCTGTCCTGGAAAGCTGGATTCTATTCCTATCTCTGTCACAGAGTTTCTGTATGTCGTTGTGTGTGTTCCTACAGCTGAGCAATCACAGCTGTAACTAAAGTTAATAAGTAGTATGCTTTCAGTATCTGAAATGCTAGCAGATGTTGAGCACTCTGGGAAGCAAGCTTGCAGGTACCTCAAACTGGATATTTAAGACTTGCAGATGCTTTTGACTGTAATTCTTCTGTGCCTCAGTTTCCCATATGCAACTGCTGTGATTCTGAACAGCCATAGAAGATTCCCCTGAAGTAGCTTTACCCCCCTATTTCTACATTTAGTATATGAGAGCAGGATGATCAGAAGCATTCCTCTGCCCCCAAGGGAGTCAGGGAAGAGGTTGCAGACATACCCTGTGTGTAATTTCCTCTTCCTTAATCATGATCTTCATCTGGTACGGTCATTTACACCCATGCAAACCCAGTGCCCAGTGGTTGTAAAACATCACCAAATAAGGAAGACAGCTTCTTGCACTCACTGTGCACCAATGAAAACCAGGGCACAAGATTCAAGGCACGAAAGAATTAGGCCCTGTGCGGAAATATTTGGGTGGGTGGGTGTGCGCGCGCAAGCATTTGCATGCTGGACTTCAATACTATATCCCTTTGCAGGGCATTTCCAAGACACTAGTGAACAAATACAGTGGCATGATTTTTGCTCTGTCCATATAGTTCAATCCTCCATGCAATGTTATACATGAGGCAGACAGTGGCTTTTAAAGAAACAATAAAAAACTAGAAGTTAGTTGCAGAGGAACTTTAATGCACTCTGGAGTGGTGAGGCAGAATGCTTGAGATCTACTTTACTAACTTCAGGCAGTTGACTTTGCCTTGCTGGAAGACATCTGGGAACGATCTGGTAGCACACGGAAGGGGGGTTTTCTGGAGAAAATAACCCTGTTACCTTTAATTGGAAGGTATGATGAATTACTGTGGAAAAACAAGCCCTCCATGTTGGCCGTAGATTTCTTAGCAATCCTAAGGGGGCTGTTATTTTCCCTTGGCCTCGACAGCACTCGTGCTGTCCCGGTGAAATCTGCTTCTTGAGATGTACTGCTTGGTGTGCATACGCATCTTTTCTTGCTGCTGCCTGTTCTTTGTCTGCAGTCCTGAGAAGTTCCTTGGGGACCGGCCTTTCTCAACTTGTCTTGCTCAACTAGCATGTTGACCACTGGAGATGTATGAGTGACGTAGGCTGGCCAGCTGGGGATTGTGGGGATTGAATGGCTGGGAAGGCCTATGTTCACCGAGTATGAACTCTGTTCTGGAATCCAAGAGATAAAGACAAATTTAGAACGTAGCAACCCCATCCAGCTCCATCCTTGTTTCCTCAGGCAGCTTGAGGGGGAAGAAGAAGAGGCATGAACTCTCAACATCACACACTGAAGTCCACATATCAAACACTGGTTTTCCAATATGGAAAGAGCTAAGAACCCACAGCTGCAATGAAACCAGTCAGGGCCTGGACAGAGAGAGGTAGACAAACAATCCCATACCCAACTCCTACTGTGCTCCAGGACTGCCATTACTGGTGCTGCTATCAGCACCTGCACTGCAGCAATGTTTACGCTGGCCAGATCATCTCTCATAGAAGACTTTACCTGGTTTGCAGCTTTACTTAGCTAGATTAGGGAACTAGGCTGCCAGGAGGATATGAAGATGAAACAATATCCCAAGCAGCTGCACAGCAGGAGAGGGAATGCCCCTACCTGCATCACCAGGTGTAAGTATCTTTCTATGGTTGGCTGTTCTGCCAAGGCCCCATCTTCTCCCCACTATCTTTGGCTATTTACTTACTGATGTATACTTATCCCGCATGTCATGTTTCACCGATTATGTTCTATAAGGAAGCTTTCTATTGACTTAGCTAAGACCCAGTGGTATCTAAACAATGAGCATCTACCAGCATGGGCTGCATAATTATGCCTAATAGCAGTATGTCACAGGTAGTATGGAACTGAGGTCAAGCTGGAGCTATCACATATAAATTAATGAAAAGGAAAAGGTAAAAAAAAATTGAAATAACAACAACACCTATGTCATTCCTGAAGCGTGAAATCAGAGAGAATAATGAGCACCATCTAAACCAAAAGGAAAGCCTCTCATTTCACAGCTTTTTGTTCTAATCTCCAGCCCACATTTTCTTCTCTGCTATCTCAAGAAGCCAAAAGGCTGAAAGAAAGTGTTATAGGGATTTTTTTTTCATAGATTTTATAGATTTCATAGACATTAGGGCTGGAAGGGACCTCGGAAGATCAAGTCCAGCCCCCTGCCCAAGGGGCAGGAAGTCAGCTGGGGTCACAGGATCCCAGCAAGACAAGCATCCAAATTTCTCTTGAAGGTGTTCAATGTAGGTGCTTGAACCACCTCCGATGGCAGGCTGTTCCAGACCTTGGGGGCTCGGACAGTAAAGAAATTCATTCTCCCTCAATACGCACATGCAAAGGTGAAATTGCATAGGAGAGAAAATCCAAGGAAGAATGCAAATCAATGAAAATTAATGAAGACAACATTAAACAGCCCTTGAGAAATACCAGGCTTTTGGTGTAAATTTAAGCCTGTCAAAAAACTAGCTTGTTTTTTTTCGGAAACAATTATTCATTTAGGAATTACCCAGCTCGTTAGTACACACAGAGTTTGTTGTGTGTATTTAACTTTTTTTTTAAAACGTTGCCTAATAAATTACAATAGCTATGTAATTATGACTAAATTAAATACAGGAGTTGAATGTGCTCCAGCTAAAAGCACAAGCAAGGCATTTAGGATGGATAGGGAAAAAACTTCCCTGGTTCCCAGGCCTGTAATTGGCTAAAATACCAGTTTCCATACTAAAGACAGTCAAAACTTGATTGGACTAAGTATTGATGAACAGACAGATGGCAAAAAAGTGACAGTGGGCAGGAGGATGGAAGAGATGATCTAGAACAGGGCAATCCAACTGGCAGCCCCCAGGCCACATGCAGCCCACTCAGGTTAAGTTGTACGCCCCAAGCCCTTGCTCAGCTGCTGGGCTCCCCCTCCCTCCTCTGGCTTAGACTTCCTGGCCCCACCCCAGGGTGGGGCGGTGTGGCATGGTGCACCGTCAGGAGTTGAGGCAAAGGCTGGGGCTGCATGAGTGTATGGGAGTGGAGGGAGGAGCCTGCGTGGCTCCACAAGGAGGTAGGGGGGTGCCACATAATGTGGGGAGGAGGATGCCCATGTAGACATGTGGTACAGTAGGGGGGAACCCGGGCAGGTGTACGGTGCAGTGGTTAGGGTGTGTACCCGCATGGTGCACAGCCTCTGCTGGTGCGGCCCACAGGGAGTGTGGCCCTCCGCCTCTTCAAACTTGGACAGCCCTGACCTAGAGTGGTAGGGGATTTTCTTCCATCTGCGTATAATACTTTTGGGGCCATATTCAATCTCCGTTACAGTCAGTGTCATTGTTTTCACAGGAGATTAGTTTCACTTCCACAAAACCGGCCTGTTTCCCACCTGCGGAATGGACATCATAATATTTCCTCCCTTCCACTCCTTGTCTGGGTGGATTGTGAGCTGTAGGAGCTAAGACTTGTGGTTCCACAATGGTGGGGAGGTTAGACTAGCCCAGGAGGCAGAAAAAGAGCCCAATTCAGCCAACATGGGCCAGTACCTTTATTGTTCTGAGCAGGGACACAGCCAAAAAGCAAACATGGTGCCTTACGAAGCACACAAAGTTACAGCTTTTAACAACTCAGTACCACATATAATAGCTAACAAACAATACAGCACACCAAGTGCTTACCACTTAGTTACACAAAGTCTAACACAAAGGGGCCAGTCTCTCAGAGCCTAGAGCTAATAGTGATTTAAATACTACCCAAGTAAAGTATGGAGATATTATGATCCCCATATGAAAGATGGGGAATCAAAGACAATATGAATTTCCCAAGTCCATGCAGGAAGTCACTAGCAGAAACAAATGAACCCAAACATACTGAACCCTGGTCACCTGTTCTAAGATCTAAACTTCATGCCTGTGAATGCAATGCTTGCTCTGTTCAGCCTCGTCTTCTGCCCACTTTGCTGATAGAATTGCACTAAGCCAGGATAAAAAAAAGCATTTGTTTTTAGTGCCCCCTCTGCACCTACCCACGTTCTGTGCACTCCTGAGCCCTAAAGTGTCAGAGAAGCCTCTACTGTGTTGAGCTGTGCAATATTCCCATAGCCTCTGGACTGCTTTGCTCTTTCGCTGGGCAGTTCCCAGTGACATAGTGTCTCACACAGGGTGCATGCAGTCTGGAATTTGCTCTTACATAAGCTGTACTTCTGCCCTCCCTGCAAGAGCTTGGAAGGCACTGAGATAATTCCCTGCTATTCTCTTTCGTTTTCTGCTTCCCCCTTCTCCTTCCCACTGCCTCCCCCCTGCATCATACTTGTCAGCAATCCTACTCTCATTTGAATAATCCTGATGCTCACTTCACCTATCTGGTTAAAAATAAGAGGAGTCTTTCATAGCACTTATTTTTCACTGATACTAATGTCTGGTAGAGACCTCAGGAGGTCATCTCATCCAATCCCCAGCTCAAGATAGGATACCCTTTTGTTATACCCCCAAGGACATGCACTAAAAATTTTCTTCACTCCCCAGCATAACTGGGCTGCCCAGAAACTACTCCTGGCTTTTCCCTAGTGCATCTGGACTTGCATTTTCTTCCTGAAGGACTTGGGTCTGTTACATGCATAGGTAGGTCTCATTAGCACCATTAAGGAGATGTGGGAGAACATTTTCTTATGAAAATATTCCCCATCAGAATATGCGTTCCCACCACAATCAAAATCTTCCACAGGAGTATGTCAAACTAGGTGGACATTTTCTGACCTGGTAAACTAAAATGAAAAACAGCACTTTGAATTCAGATTTTGAAATGAAACACCCTTTCTTGGGCTGAAGTGAAAACATGGCATTTTGGCCTGCCGGGTCGCATTTTGAGACTGACCATTTGAAAACTCTCAGATTATTTTTTCATAGGTTTTTTTTCCCCTGACATTTTGACTTTTTGTTCTGATCCATAGCAGAAAGTAATTTCAAACCATCAGAACTGCCTAGGAAAGGACAATTCCATCTTTTTTAACAGCTCTATTTTTCTTAATGAGAGCTTTGATTTGGCAGGTAATCAGGAGACCAATGACAAACAGCTATATCCAATCTTCCTTCTGCAGATAAAAAAAGATCTACAGGTGAGGAGCCAGACTCTGCTAAATAGTACTTGCATATGAAACATTTGTAATAAGGAAAATGCATTTTGTGTGTGTGTGTGTGTGTGTGTACACATATGTGCAAATTTAGTGCAGACTAAAAGCCACTGAGAAACAGCAGGGTTGGCACCAAAGGCAATAATGATACTCTGGAATTAGAAGGCACAAAGAATACAAGGTTGATACAAAACCCTTTGGAGTCTTTCCACCAGTTTTAATGGGCTGTAGGTCAGGTCTTTAAAAAAAGAAGCATCAAGACACTTAAGGAGAAGCCAGGCACCCAGCCACCCAGGAAAGCAGAGTTGTAAATTAAATAACTTCAGTTACAAAGTCCAGGGAAAAGAACGCTCTGCACCCTAAATGCATGTCCAAACCTCACAATTTGTTCCCAGAGCTCAGACCCCAAACAGTTCTGCTATGAAACAGCTGTGGTATACATTCCAGAACATCTTGGAAAGTGATGTGCAAATGCTTGTTACTCTGTAGTTTCAAAGCAAATCAAAACTGAACCGTAGATCTTGTGAGGAGATATTTAGCAGGCCCTCCCGTGGAAGATCTTGGTGCAAAAGTGACTTATTTTTGTGTGTAGCTTATTATTCTGTAAACTTGCTGGATGTTTTGCAAAGCAAAAAAAACAAAAACAAAACCAAAAAAAACCCAGACATGGAATAGACCCTGCCCCAGAGAAGAATGTATGTTGCAATAAATAAAAGGGGAGGGGACAGAATAAAGAAAGACAAGAATTATAGTTATGAGACTTGGCTGGACATGTGTACATCTTGACTGTAGTCTTACTGCTTTTAATATCAGTCCTTATCTGGGATGCACTAAGCCCAAGGCTGTATCCAGCCAAATTCACTTTTTATATAAAAGGAGACTGACAGCTTTATGACTGGATGTAAAAGAAAGTTAGGAATAGGAGAATATGAAGACACGTTCTCTTTGCATCTCATACTATTTGTGACTGCACAGAGCTGCTTTGATCACAGAGAAAAAACTGTGATTTGTATAATGTCCCTGTAGTCTGGGGTTTTCAGAAGAAGCTCGTGCTCAGCCATACTCTTGAATTGCTAAATTTTCTTTTTTGTGGACTTTTTCTGCTGGGGATAGAGAGCGGAGGCTTTGCACAACCTTTGTTTGAATAAAGAGGAATAATTTTGTACATGATCAAAGAAGAAATTTAGGTAAGGGTGGATAGTATAGGTTTACATTTTTGGAGGGTTGAGGATATTTGGCTATAGAGCAAAGATAAGCCAATTTGGTCAGGAAGCATGTTCCCTTATATTTGTGTATATTCGGAATTAAGGAGAAATGAACCTGGGCTGAGGCCCAAGGATCTGATTTCTAAGCCTATCTCTGTTCCCAACCCTCCTGCAGGGTTATAAATCTGCTTTAGGGCAGTGATGATCCAAAATGTTTTTTCCTGACTCTCACCTTCTGTCTCACTACAATGGTGGTAGCTACCCTACAAAATGTATCACAGGCAAAGAGAACAATGAAACTGTTACACCGACTTCTTGGAACTCCATCCAGATTCAAATCTGACCCATTAAATCATCCCAGCAACTGGTCCCTGTAACCTTCTGTGCCTATCCCCCGAGAGTCGCACATTTGAGTTCTCCTCAAACTTTGCCATGGCTTCTTGGGCTGCACGACCAGGATATTGGGAGTGACCTCAGGTCAGTTCCCCCCAGGGGTCTCGCTTGCCACGTCTTTGATGGTAAGTAGTTTCTTAGTGGGAGGACGATGTCTGGTCCTCCCTCCCCTGGTACTTTCCCTCGGTCGTCCTCACAGTATTTCTTCTCCGGGTTCCACCTCCCCTACCCCCCGCCTAACGCCAACCATGGTGTTGTCTGTCAGGGCTGATGTTCTGACCCTCCCTGGCGCTCAGTCCCTTAGAGGCTGCAGTCATTGGCCATTCATGGTATTCGTACCGAGCATTTCCCGTGGCCCCTCTTTGCTTCCAGCTTACGCAGTGTCTGACTCTGCCCAGGCTTCAACCTCCCTTGCCGTGTCACTTCTTCCCCGGACCCGATACCTGCTGTCTGTCATCTGGGCCAGTTGGGGACACTGCTTCCGGTCCCCCCAGCTTCCTTTCTGCTGGGCCTTTTATCTTGGTGCAGGTTGTCCACCCAGCCAGTCACCCCTGGAATGCTTTTATAAAGCACACCCAGGCTGATGTGGGAGCCGTTCTCAGCTCCTTCTGGCTCCACCATGGGTTTTTCCTTTGATCTTCACCCGCAGTGGCTCCAGCCACCATGGTTTCACTCTCTCCATGATCAGCTGCTGGCGCGGCATCCTGCCGCCTCTCTGCCGACCCAGGTAAGTTTTCTCCACAGTCCTGTTCGTGCATTTCAACAGGGGACACCAAATAAGTGAACTAGGATTCAAGCTAAAGGACACATGTGTATGGCAAGGGTGAAGAGGTGGATGATCATGGCAAGACTGGGGTTGGCATATGGCAGGGGTTATTATACCAAGGCAGGACTTGATGGGGATGGACCTTGGGTGGCAAACTAGGTGGAGTAATAAGCAGCCACTTCTTGTCCTTGCCTACCAGTCTGGATTTTAGCTTGCACCAAACAGAAGGAAGACTCTGTGACCCACTGCATATCTTCTAAGCCCCACTATGTGAGTGGCTGTTTCTACAGACTGCCTCATGGGACATATCTGTACTCCACTCTAGACTATTGCAAGGAGGTATTGCAGAAGCCAGCCTGGAAAAGCTCAGGCTCAGGGGTGATCTGGTAGCCACCTATAAGTTTAGCAGGGGTGCTCACCAGGACCTGGGGGAACATCTATTCACCAGAGCACCCCAAAGGATGACAAGGTCAAACAGTCACAAACTCCTCCAAGACCATTTCAGGCTGGACATAAGGAAGAACTTCTTTATTGTCCGAGCTCCCAAGAACTGCCGCCGGAGGTGGTTCAAGCACCTACCTTGAACGCCTTCAAGAGACATTTGGATATTTATCTTGCTGGGATCCTATGATCCCTGCTGACTTCCTGCCCCGGGGCAGGGGGCAGGACTCAATGATCTTCCAAGGTCCCTTCCAGTCCTAACGTCTATGAATCTATGAATCTGTTTTTTTTCACTGGCATATACAGGAGTCAGAATCTGCCACTGAAGATGGAAGGTGTTTAAGACAACCAATTTTAAATTTATAAACAGCCATCCAAGATAAAACGTTTGTTAACAAACTATCCTCCAGGACTCAAGTGCCTAAGAGAGGTGTCTCCCTTTCCAATGCTGGCACAGACTTCCCACTTGCAAAAGCCCCATGTATGTCCTGACAGAAGCTCACGTTCCCTGTGGACAGTGGATTCAAGCAGAGCACCCCAGCTCAGCACTACACACCCTGCAAATACAAATGGAGCCTGGTTCAGTGCCGGGGAAATCCCAGCAGCTGGTGCCAGAAAGCTCAGCTGGGTCACCCTCAACATCCTTGCTAAGCCTCTCTGCCCACTCAGTTGGGGCAGGCTGCCCAAAGGCTGGGTTTGGCCTGCTATCTGCTGTACCACACAGCTCAAACACGGCTCGTGTTCTCATACTGTGTTGTCAAAAGCATGTAACTCAGCTGTCTAGTGAGAATCAAACCTCTGAAATGCCTGGCTGTTGGGACAAACTGTAACCACTCATAACCACTCAGCCTGACCACTCTTCCACAGCTTATAAAAAGGTCCAAATAGCTGCCCCAGTTCCTTCTTTTCCCCAACTCTCTTCCAAGTTAGCTGTCTGCTGGAGGGACTACTACACTGTCTGGCCACTAGGTGGTGGGCACATTGGTTTCCATTAAACAAATGACCTCATGAGATGATGCGATGACTGGGGAAACAAACGCGTGACCAATATACCAGTGTAACTTATACCAGCGTATAATCACTCTTTGATTTCCAAGGGGCAACTTTAATTTCTAGTGGGGTGATTTATACTCCTGTGAGACTATATGTTATGGGTCTGTTCCACTTCTACCACAGAATAAAATCAATTGTTTTGAGAATAAATATGTTGCATGCCCCACTTTAAAAATCCTC